ATGATGCGTGTGTGTCTCTGTGTGTGTATGTGTCTGTGTGTCTGTGTGTGTGTGTGTCTGTGTGTGTGTGTGTCTGTCTGTCTGTCTGGCTGGCTGGCTGGCTGGCTGGACTGGCTGGCTGGCAGACACTCTTGCAATCAAATGCAAAACTCCCTGTTCAAGTCACCTTCCCAACAACATACTCCTCATTCACACACGCACGCACACACATGCACGCACACGTGTGTAGGAGAGGATTGCAGCGCTGCGGCAAGAGCCCGGGTACATTGAGAGCGTGCTGGCCCAGGGAGCCGAGCAAGCGAGGGAGAGGGCAGCAGCCACCATGGATGAAGTGAAGCAGGTGGTGGGACTGTCGGGACTCAACGCTCCAGCGAGCGACAGTGTGCAATAAACATAAACGCAAACAACACACCTAAAGTGCCACGGAAGGTGTGTGGGAGACAAACATGCAAAGTCGCATCAAACGTACACACACACCTCGCGCAGACCTCGGTCCCTCAACTCTCGGTTGCGGTTCAGCCGCTGCAGGAAGTCAGACAGCTTGGGCGTGTGTCTTTCGTGCGTCGTTGTCGTCGGCGTCGGCACCGTTGTCACCGTTGTCGGCGTCGCTACCATCATTGCCGTCATTGCCGTCATCGCCATCGCCTTCCTCGTTGCTTCGGGACTTGCCTTCCTTGGCACGCAGAAAGCCGTGCTTCTTCATGTAACTGCAGGTCACGCGGTGTGCGGCGTTCCAAGCTGCTTTGTCGTAGGTGCTGGTCAGGGGATCTCTCTTGATCTCGAGGATGCCTTGCTCCTCCAAGTACTCTGTCAACTGGACAGCGGTCACGCTCTGGTGCTTCGCCCGTTTCCCCTCAACGAAGTCATGGACCAGTGCGATGACGCTGCTGCTCTCCGGAATGCGTTTCCCCTTGGCGTGCTTGCCCCGCTCGTTCTCCATGGCGAAGGAGGCCGGTGGCTTTCCACCGTTCTGGCGTTTGAGCTCATTCCAGCGACTGAAAATCGAGCCCACGGTCGATCTCGAATAGCCCAGCAAGTCTGCCACCTCCTGCTGTACCGTGGTCTTCTTCGGGGCCCCTCTGCTTGGCTGTTGTCGTCGTTGTTTGAGCTTGAGGTACAGGTGCACGATGCACAGACATTCCTCCGTGGACAGCGCCTTCCTCCCGCGCATCTTCTTGATCGCTCCCATGTCCTTGGCAAAATCTTCACGTGACATCTTTACTGGTGTTCCCCGTGAACTGGAATAGCTTCCCACCGTTGTCTTGGCCCGCTTAGACCGCCTTCCCGTCGCTACACCATCACAAACATCGCCCGTCTTACTGCTGGCCGCCACTGCTGCTGCATCTGCTGCTGTCGTTTTGGCGCTTTCCATGCTCGCTGTCCTTCCTGCTTTGATGAAGATTCGACAATGATTCCCAACGAATTTCTTGCCTTGAACTGGCATCGTGTATTGTCTGAAGTTTGAACATTCACAAGCAATCGCGCAAAGCCTGAAGACTGCTGACGTGAGGTCACAACAAGGGCGACCTAACGTGGGGATGGTATTCGTCCACGTCAAACAGCAGCTTGCGGCGTTTTGGCGGCTGCTGGTTTGGTGGCGGGCTGCAGTGGTTTTTGAGGAGAAGGGTGAAGGGAAACAGCGTGAATACATACCATGAGCAGTTTGTGTGTCTGTGTGTGTGTGTCTGTGTGTGTGTATGTGTGTGTGTGTGTGTGTCTGTCTGTCTGTGTCACACGACCTGCCTCCCTGCCTGCCTGCCTACATGTACGTGTATCAGAGCCAATAAACCACACATACACATACGTGCAGCAAGTCAACTCAAGCAAGTCCCCCGTGTCCATTGAAGTGTCTCACCTCTGCAGAAGGGAGAAGGCGCCTGTTCCAACCTTCATCGGCTTTCCAACAATGATACATTCACTCACACCCTCAATCGGGTCCTGTGTCGCCGCAAGAAGGGCGGGAGAGGAAAGGCACAGGGGAGACAGAGAGAGAGAGAGGGGGTCGCTGTTGAGGGACAATGTGTTGAAGAATCACAACGATTCGGGGAAGATAATGCGAGCGTTCACTACACACAAACACACACACACACAACACACACACACACACAACACACACACACACACACGCAACACACACACACACACACGAGCACATACCGTTGTGCCACGCATGGCAGCGTCGAACAAGTGGTCGATGGTCTTCTCAAAGGACGCGAGCATAAACACGCTGTCCTTCATCTTTGCAATCCCAAATCGTGTGATGCCAAGCACTTCACCCTGCATGAAGAGATAACGAAAACGAACACACAGACACACACACGCACGCACGCACGCACACACACACACACACACACACACACACACACACAGACACACACACACACAGACACGCACGCAGACACACACACGCGCGCACGCACGCATGCGCGCGCATTTTCATATCCAAACATGAGCACCGGAAGTTGAAGTAGAGCAGCATATCGCATTCTTGTTGCACCAGCAGCACACAGCGCACACACGGGCGCACCCCACAACCACCAACTCCATCATCATCGCCATCATCATCGCAGTCACATCCACCACCACTGCGACCCCTGCGACCACTGCGCATACCTTGAAGGTCATGAGGTCGCCCATGAGCATGGTGTGGCGTGGATCGATGCTGATGCCGTAGTTTGACATGACATACTGCACCTGGTCCATGATCACCTGTCGTGCCGCCTCAATACCAAGCGTCTTCTCCACCTCCATCACGTGGTTGCACTTGACCTTCTCCCCAAGCACACCTGAATTCCAGTGGCGATGTGCGTGTGCTGTTGTGTGAGTATCGGTGTGGAGGGTGATGCAAGCACAGGAATAATGCAACAGGTGTCGTAAACGTGTACTTGAATACGGTGTCACACAAACACACAGCACACACACACACACACACACACGCAGCGAGCACTGACCCAGCGTTGACATGACGCCGCGCATGTTGGTTCCGTCGATAAATAGTTTGTGCACACCGCCCTCGTCGTTCACAATCGCGCGGCTGCAGACGAAGGTGGGAAGTGGAAGTGACGTTGAAAATAATTGTGAGTGAGTGATTGTAAGGCAGAAGGAGAGAGCAGACACACACAAGTGTGGAAACAAAACAAGCAAAACAAACAAACAAACACACAAAGCAGCCAACAAACGCACTTGACGTTTTCAAGCCCCTGCACGACGACGGTACCGAGCTTCTGCTGCAGCGCTTGCAACAGATGCACGGGGTTGGACGGTTTGCGCGTGTCTGGGCGCGGGTACACGTGGAAGAGGCTGGCACTCTTGATATCGACGTCGTTTGGCTTGACCTTGAGCTTGCGGTCAGACACGATGCGGAACACAACGCCCTGCACGTCAATCTCCAGGAACAGGTTGGCGATGCGCTGAAGATCAAGCTTCACCGCAACGTACGACTCGTTGTCGCTGCAGAATATGCGCACATACTCCGCAACCTGCAGCAGCAGCCACACGTCACGGCCCACGGTGGTGGTGGTGGTGGTGTGTGTGTGTGTGTGTGTGTGTGTGTGTGTGTGTGTGTGTGTGTGTGTGTGTGTGTGTGTGTGTGTGTGTGTGGTGGTGGTAGTGGTAATGTGCGTGTGTGTTTTGTTTGGGGAAGCAACAGCAGGAAGGTAATGAACGTGAGCAAGGGATTGTACGTTGGAGCAGGTAGACCGGCGAGGTATGATGAATGCCAAGACAGCAAAGCCTTGACTGAAACACACACACATTCACACACACACACACATTCACACACACACACACACACACACATTCACACACAAGCACGGTGCTGCCGCTTGCTGTGATGGTCGCGCACCTCCTCGAGGGTGATTGTCTCGATCCTGCCCTTGACGCGTCGCGCATATGCGGCGTTGTCGGCCTCCTCCAGCGGCGCCTCAATCACGGGCGTGCTGATCTTCTTCGCCGCGTTGATAATCTCCTGCTCAAGTGCCGATGGAGTGAGTGAGTGAGTGAGTGAGTGAGTGTGTGTGAGTGAGTGAGTGAGTGAGTGAGTGAGTGTGTGTGTGTGTGTGTGCATGTATGTGTGCACAGCTGAGGGAGCAACAACACAATGCCAGCAGTGACAGCGAGATGTCATGCATCAGCAAGCAAGGCACGGACCTTGATGCGCGGAACACCGAGCGTCACGTTCATGGCAGCGACACCAGCGAAATGGAACGTCCGCAGTGTCATCTGATCGTTGGCAAACAAGGGTGTATGCGTGCGTGTACATGTGCATGCGTGCGTGTGAGCGTAATCAAGGCATGCGTGGTCGTGATCAAGGCAACTGGTCATGATTACAACAGCTACAATACAACACAACTCAACAATAAACCAAGCATGTTAACCATGGTCCCATGAACCACAGACCTGTGTTCCCGGCTCGCCAATACTCTGCGCAGCAATGGCGCCAACAGCGGTGCCAGGTTCCATCACACATCCGAGGAACTTGTGCAGCGCCGCGTCAACAAACGCCTCAAGCTGCGTCGCCGTCAGTCCGTCAATGCTGTCACACAGCTGTCATCGTGGCAGTAATACACGGAGATGTGTGTGTGTGTGTGTGTGTGTGTGTGTGTGTGTGTGTGTGTAGAACGATGGCGTGAATCATTGAGCGGTTGTGAACACAACAAACGTGCAGTTGCACGAAGAAGACGGCAGCTCGCGCACAGAAAAACGCACGCACACACACACACACACACATCACACATACACACATGGATGTGGGACTGACCCGCTGTGCATTGGGGTCCTTCATTGTCTCGGGTCCGTCTGTGCAGGGCTCCAGATCCAGTCGCTGCCGAACAGCGGCGATGTTGTCCGCTTTCTTGTGCAGAAACGCGCGTAGCGTCTTCAGGAAGAAGTGCTGCAAACACACACACACACACACACACAAGCGAAGCAAAGGTGCATGCAAATGTGGATGTGTATTTGGATGTACACGCGTGAATATGTGTGAATGTGTTAACATGTGA